GAATAATTACAATCTTCCAAAATCTTTATAATTTTAGAACTAATACTAGAATAATTTATGGGAACAATATTACCTAATTCTAAGCTAGTATTCAAATTATTATTCAGTATCTTTCTTAAACATGAGTTTTTATAATTAATATAATATACAATTTTATTTTTTTTATTAGCATCATTTGGTTTATTGTAAATTATATTACAAATATGTATAACACAATTATGTTTCACAGTTACTTTTGAATATTCTAAATCAGGATATTCAGAACGAATGTAGTCTGCAACTTCATTTAATTTATTATCAATCTTCATGATAATTTATTTTATAAGGAACATAATTTAATTAAAAAAATATTACTATGGGTAAACTTAAATTAACTTTTTATAACTGATTTACAATTTCAGAACTATAGTTTTAAAGGTACACTTATAATCCCTTTTTATAACTGTTCGACAACGTAAATGTCAGAACTATACTCTAAAAAGAAACACTAACTCCCTCTTTATAACTTTTTGACAACTTAAATGTCGGAGCTTTATTCTTTAGAGAAACTTAAACTCCCTTTTTTTATCTGTTCGACAACGTATTTATTACTTATCGTAATAAATAACTTCTTCGTTGGCTTTTCTATTAAAAAAATAAATGATATTTAGAAAGATTTATACTGTTAAATATTTTTATACTGGTTGTAAAACTTAATCATAATTTTTTTTAAATATTTCCATAAACGTTTTTAAAAAAAAAAGATTAAAATTATATACCTTACTTTATGAAGACTACAGAGTGATTACTTAACTACGTCACATGAAATATTACTAAAATATTATACCTGATTCCTGTTTTTTTTTTTTATGCAACAATAATGATTTTTTGTTGAGCTAATCTGTGAGTAAAATTAAATTTTTACTATTATCCCTTAAGCCTGAACTACCATGACCCTAGGTTNATTAAATAGTCAATATAGAATAGATCTATATACATTTTATGAAAATCGGTGGGTACCACACCGTGACCTCCCCTTGTAAGTATCAAAATAATATTACATCTTTTATGTTCAAGGCGAATGAAAAAGTAATGATTTATGTATACATAGCACGAATTGCCCGAATTTAATTTAAAACTGAACGAATATATAGCGTTCGTGTCTTAAATTAATAAATGTTAACTTCGATACATACTCACTGGAAATTTAATACAAAGAATTATGGGTTAGGTTGGGTTTATTCAAATCTGATAGTAACATAACATACCTTCTCAGATTCTCATAGTAGCTAAAAAAAATAGTGTTGTCATATGTAAAGTAAAATTTGATAACAGTTTAAGGCATAAAGTATGATAGTAGAAAGGTAATTTTCCTTATAGAAAAGTCTTAAATAAAGTATCATTATTTTGAAAAAAAAAGATTAGCTCTTATATTTTAAAAATCGAAACTAAAAATATTTTGTGGTAGCTTAGGAATCACGCTGTATATTTGTATTTACATATACTGTATTTTACAGTGCATAAGTGTATAATATTATAAATTTGTTGTTTTAAATTGGATACCGATTATAAAAAAATAATTTTTAGTTTTAATAACTTTTAATACGACAGTTAATATTGTATTGTATGAAAAAAACATTTTTGTGGAAATGTATCTAAATATTGCCACGTATTAAGCATTTTTAACCCTAGAACGCTAGTGTAAGTCAGACTGACGCATCGTGCGCGCGCCGATCGCTCTCCCTTCTGACCCTTCCCTCCAGCACCCCTGTACATTTTTTACGTGATTTGAATAAAGACTCTTTTAAAAATGATCATAGCTCGTTTTTATCGCAGCTCACCCTATGCTCACACCGTGAACAATAAAAACTATCAAAGGAGTCAAATTGACGCATCGCTAGTAAAATGCGCCTATAAGATATCGCTTGTGTTCCAGGGTTAATAACACATACAAAAAAATGTATAACTTTTGATTCAGATAAGAGTTTGGAACTAAATATTTTACTAAACCTATTTAAAAAAAAAAAATTTGTTGTAGTAATCTAAAATTTTACATTGTATTGTTATAACTTTTAAAAAAGAAACATTAAATCGAAGATTAATTTGTTTATTATTAAAATAATTAATATTCGTTGAAATCTGTATTTAAATTATTAATTAAGAATACTGAAAATAAATGTTTATGAACACATTGCCATCATCAACGAGAGTTAAAGTAATTTCTTGCTAATTATTTTCCTGATTTATAACACATTTATTTATTTCCATTCTCACCCTAAAAAATAGTGCATTTATGAAACAATTGATTCCGAAATCAAATGACAAAACAGAAAAGATACGTCTTTTAAAAACTTAATAAATGACTTTCATAAAAAAAAAGTTAATAACTTCCTCAAGCGTTGGAGGAGACGACAATATGACAACAATATAGGGCGACAAAAACTATTTGAATTTTTATGAACTTTGTGGGAATTAAAAAATTAAAGAAAAGTTTTTTCTATAATTTTTAATTGTTTATTATTTTAATTACGTATATTTAGTATATATTTGAAAAAAATTACGCAAGGTAATTTTGTATTATTAATAAATCCAGTTTGATAATGCACAAAGTAAATAGAATTATATAAATTAATTTTATCATCTGCTTATCTGATTTACTATTAAACAGTTTTTACAAATGTATATTCAACTAAAAACCTGAAATATGCATTTTCTGTTTCAAGATATTTTGAAGTAACATGATTTTACTGAAGTTATTAATTTATTGTGTAATATATAATTAGACAAAAGTTCATTGTTAATAATTAATAATTTTTTAAAAAAAGTAATAAATTATTGTATCCTAAAATTATTAAAACAAAAAAAAAACCAGNTAAAATTATTAAAACAAAAAAAACCAATGTATGATTTCAATAAACAAATTTTTTTTTATTGGTTATAATATGGGAAAACTATACATCAATTTTAAAGTGAAATAGATACTTACGACTGACAAAGTGCTATCATTGCCATGAAATGTCTTTTGATTATTGTAAACAACTTTTAATTACTCCGCATGGTCTATGCGTAAGAGTGGGAAAAACAAGTATCAGTTATCAGTTGTAAAATCGACATCAGATGTATAGTCGTNATAACGCGTGGCGTTTGGAGAGTTACAAACATACATACATACATACATACATACAGGTGAAACTAATATAAGCGTGTTAAAATAGTAGCTTTGCATCTAAACTAAAAAACTATTTCACATTTGAAATTACAACCATGCCAATTTTAAATATATTAGGGACAACAAATAATAATAATACATAATTTTATATGCTTAATTTTAAATAACTATCAAGATCAATTTTTTATTTACATTAAATTAAAATTAATATCAGGCGTAAAGTGAATCATTTNTAATATACCTACATGTATGTTTTCTAAGAATTTGCAGTAAAGATTATAATTTTTATTATATTGTAACTAGCAGCATTGTAAAAAAAAGTGATCGGTAGTCATAATTAAATATAAATATTGTTAAAGTCTTTTAGACTTTCTTATAATTTATTTGAATTTACCAAGTACCTGGATAGATTTTTTAAAATCATTTCCACTTAAAATATCACTTTTCAAAAAGTATTTTAAACTTGATTGTTGTACTAAATAAAAATAATAAATTTAAAAATTATATTATGAATAACTTCTCAACTTTTAATCAGTGTATCTTGAAGAAATAATTTATTAATTAAAAAAAAATGTTTAATCATTTCTATTTATAACAATAAAATAATAAAAATAATTATTTTACCAAAGGATGGTAAAGTAAGGTTAAATATTGAATGATTTAAACTTGAATTTATATGTTGTTTACGCTTTTACTATAGTTATAAATCGTGTTTATGATTTTCCAATAACTTCTATTTTAAAAATAGTAGCTTTGCATCTAAGCTAAAAAACAATATTTCACATTTGAAATTACAACCATGCTAATTTTAAATATATTAGGGACTACAATTAATAATAATACATAATTTTATATGCTTAATTTTAAGTAACTATCAAGATCAATTNGTCGTGATTAATATACCTACATGTATGTTTTCTAAGCATTTGCAGTAAAAATTATAATTTTTATTATATTGTAGCTAGCAGCATTGTAAAAAAAAGTGATCGGTAGTCACCATCATAATTAAATATAAATATTGTTAAAGTCTTTTAGACTTCCTTATAATTTATTTGAATTTACCAAGTACCTGGATAGATTTTTTAAAATCATTTCCACTTAAAATATCACTTTTCAAAATGTATTTTAAACTTGATTGTTGTACTAAATAAAAATAATAAATTTAAAAATTATATTATGAATAACTTCTCAACTTTTAATCAGTGTATCTTGAAGAAATAATTTATTAATTAAAAAAAAATGTTTAATCATTTCTATTTATAACAATAAAATAATAAAAATAATTATTTTACCAAAGGATGGTAAAGTAAGGTTAAATATTGAATGATTTAAACTTGAATTTATATGTTGTTTACGCTTTTACTATAGTTATAAATCGTGTTTATGATTTTCCAATAACTTCTATTTTAAAAATAGTAGCTTTGCATCTAAGCTAAAAAACAATATTTCACATTTGAAATTACAACCATGCTAATTTTAAATATATTAGGGACTACAATTAATAATAATACATAATTTTATATGCTTAATTTTAAGTAACTATCAAGATCAATTTTTTATTTACATTAAATTAAAATTAATATCAGGCTTAAAGTGAATCATTTATGATTCCTAAATTATGTTAGTATATACATAAACGTGAGATTAAACTCTACTTTAATTTTCACAATTTGCTGATCAAATTCTCAAAAGCGTTTATCGATATATATTTTTAAGTACTAAACTCATACAACTTATGTTTGTCTAATAATATTACTTTATATTTACCATAGAATTAATAGTGAAAATCAATAAAAACTAATCGGTTATTTTATTAAACATTTATTTAAAAATTAATAATTAACATAAATAATTATGAAATGTAGCATTTCTCATGCTGCTGCTGCTGCTGTTGATGCTGCTTATGTTGCTTATGTTTCTGCTGCTGCTGCTGCTGCTGTTTTTTATGGGGGTGCGTTCTGCATTCATGCCATTTATGGCCCCTTTTTTGACATTTATTACAATCTGCAAAATAAAGTAATTAATACACAATAATAAGAATTTATACTCTTTAGTTAATATATACTATAAGGTTCGATTTATATAAATGCAATACAAGATATAATGATTTTTGTATTAAATAGTAAAAATTTTATTTATAATGTTCTCTTAAGAAGAGTATTGGGGAAAATCCATCATAGAATAAGTAACACAATTTAACAAATTCTGAATAATGTTTTTGTAGTTATTTTATTTATATTACGTTAATTTATTGTCGCTCATTTAAAAAATTATTACAAATTTTGCTTTAATATCAATATCATTCTAGTTTAAATTTAGGTAATGTAAAATTGGTGTTCATGCGTTCTCAACTGAACAAAACATTTCTGAGGTGGTAATAAATAATCACATGGAAAATATTTCTNGGGTGGTGGTAATAATCACATGGAAAATATTTCATTTCGGTTCCTTTAAAAGATCTTGGTTTTTTAGCTTTTCCAATTACAGTTAATTTGATCTTATGTGTACCGGTTGCATTTGAACATGTCATAATAGTAAGTCGTTCTTTGCTAGATTTATGTCCAGGAGCTGATTTTTCAGATTGCGCGGCAAGTGTTTTTGAGGGTAACATTTTCCAGAATAGACCTGATTCATCTGCGTTGTACACTTGATCAGGGGACAGGTTCAATTTTGAAAGCATTGAATTGAATTCGTCATTAAACAGTGTTGCAGCAGTCAAATCTCCACTGAGACATTCACCTTGAATGTCCAGCTGTCTTATACCATGACGAGTTTTGAATCTAAATAACCAACCTTGTGAAGCATTAAAACTTTCCTCTATTTTCAAATTTTCATGAAACCATTTTGGTTTTTCACAAACTATTGGCCCAGAAATTGGAAGTCCTTCAATACGCTTCTGTTTAAACCATTCAAAAAGAGCAGATTCCATATCTGATAATGATGACTTTTTCATAGTTTTTCTCGTAGCTGATAATTCTGGACAAGATATGAACTTAAAAATTTCATTTTTTTGTTTGATTAAGTCACGAACTGTCTGTTGACCCACGCCAAACTCGTCTGCAAGTTTTTGTATACTTTCACCATGATCTACAGCTCGGTTAATAATCAACACTTTTTTCTCAAGAGAAAGAACGATACGTTTTCGTTTAACACTCATTATTAGATAAGGTAACGTCGCGAACGCTTATAGTAAACTGAAGGTGATACGATAAATACAATTTGTAATAATCTACAATATTGTTTATCTTGATATTGTTATCGCCATAATATGTACAATCCATAACTATTTTTAAATTTTCGGAAGAGTGAGCACGGTTAATCGCGAACACGGATAATCGAAGCACGGTTAATCGAGGTTCCACTGTATTTGCTTTTTCCAAAACGTCAGTATGCAGCAAACATATTTTTCCAGCATTTTCTAATTCCAAAGTCCCAATAATGACATTTACCACGTATCGTTTCGTCCATGCTGACCCAAATTTTTTTATTTCCAACGTAGTCTCGAATTTTTTGCATTGTATCATTGTAACATAATGCAACATAATTCTTACGTAAAGTTGACTCATCTGGGATATCAACTTTAATATATTTTTCTAAAAATTTTCGTTGTTTAATTTATTAAGCGGAATATTAGCTNAAAATGTTCGTTGTTTAATTTATTAAGCGGAATATTAGCTAATAATAATGTTTGACATAGTTCCAAATTAAATGACGATTTTTTTGATGTAATACTTGTATCAGTCAGCAATAATTGAGTTTTTGGTTTTTCGCTTTCTTTTTGTCGTTTAACTCTCCGAATATGTTTTTCTCGATTTATGTGTTGTTCTACAGTAAATCGTTTCAATGATGAGACTTTAACACTACACACTTTACAAAATAACACTTCACCATCACTAGAAAAAATATCTTTCCCGTATTCATCAACATAACTGTGTAAGCGGCTACTTACAGACGATTTTGCTTTCCGCATGTTTAAAACCGTTAAAATATAAAATTTGAAACTTATCGGTTAAATGATGACGGTGAATGCCGAAACACGACTCACAATAGTTCCTTTTACTGCAATTATAAGCACGTCAATCAATAGGTCTAATGTCTATGTCAATTTAATCTTGTTTATCGGATTTATTCCATACAATTTATAAATATAATACTCGATAAGCGTGTATGATCGGCGTATGTCTGAAAGAACACTTGTTTCATCAATATACAACACTCAAAGAGTAAATATTATCGGAACGCGATAAATGTAATCACAACAAAAACCCCACAATAATAATATCAAAAAAAAAATTTTTTACTAATAGTCCAAATCCAAAGGTAGATTTTAAATAAATTAAATTTGTTTCCAAACTCGGGTGTAACATTTGCCCTAAAATCTATAATTTGTAAAAAATGCCCCACATTGTATAAAAAGTACAAAAAATGCCCTAAAAGATGAAAAAATGACTTAAAAATGTTGAAAAATGTCGTTATAAAACAAAAAAAATGCATTTATAGCTAAAAATGCAAAATAAAATTAGAATATTCTGCATTAAGAGAGCATGAAACAAATTTTTAGCTAGGATAGCATTGCACAGAATAAAAGGAAAAAAAATGCAAAAGTCATCAACATCCTAACTATTGTTATTATCAATGGTAGTAAGGTACATTGTTGTGAGTTTATAAATGCACTAACTGACAATACAAAAAGTATATCTATTGATAATCATAATTGATAATAAACAATCCACGACTGTGACAGACAGCTATGTTATAAAAAACCAATTTGATACCTATATTTGCAATCCCTTGTGTATTATACTTGTATATTAACTCAAAAATTTGAAACTAAATGTTTATATCTTATAAACAAAGTTATATTAAAAATTCAAATGTCATTGACTATTAAATTAAAAACTCAAACATTTTATTAAATTCAAAATATGTGTTCCCATTTAAAAAAACAAAGTTGACATCTTTACAAGGTATAAGGGAAGAATTAAAAAGTATTACATAATTAATAATTCAAGAATATTGTATAACTAAAGATAATAAAAAAAAAAAATGTTTAAATTATTATTATTCTGTAAGTAATTGAGTGGGTTATGATAAAAAAATCACCATGTATACCTAACGACACAGTGATTATTAATACTAGCCACTCGATTTCTCTTAAAATAGTTATTTGTTAAAAATATATTTTATGGTTAAAAAAAATAAAGTAGATATTCTTATAAGGTATAAGGGATGAATAAATCAAGTAATTAAATAATTATTAAGTAAAAATCGAGAAAATATGAAACTTAAATATATTAAAAATAATTTCTTAACATAATTATTATTTTAAAAGAAATCGAGTGACTAGTATTAAAAGAATCACCATATTAATTTTTTTTTAATTAAATAATTAGACGTTCGTGGAGTTCAAATTATATAGTAATTAGTTGTTTTTATAAACAATTTTTTAAGAAAATCTTCAAGAAATGTTACCAAAAAGTATATATACTCAAAATCAGTAAAAATCGATTATTTTTATGAAACGAATAAACGATTTTAATTTCAAACAATTTTTCGAGAGATTCTCTCAATTATGTCTATCATTAAATATAATAAATACGTATATCTAATAAAAATTTATTTGTGCTGTTAAATATTATACAAATGTTATAATATTACAAATCATAATAAAATGAAGGTTTGGATTAAAATATTATTGCTGCTTTATGTTTAAATAATAATAATAAAAAATTAAGGAAATTAAAAAAAATTACTTACTCCCCTTAAACCGCCTATTCGTTTTATTCGGTAAACTACTGCCACCACTGCTACTTCGGCTACCATGGTGACCACGGGCACCACGGCTACCATGGTCACCATGGTCCTCATGGCCCAAACCATAATAATGGTAAATATTTATCATTATGCTGAAAAAAAAAAGTTAAAATTAATTAAAAATGTAAACACATTAATAAATGTTCACTTAGAAATTTACAAATGATTTTTTTGTTATTTTCTAGTTTCTTTATAAGTAACTAAATACTAAGTAAGTAGTTTCTTTATAAGTAAAGTTAAATTTTAAATTAAATTAAAAATTATTTCATGATTATTCTTTGGATGTTCAACTCCAACTGAGGGTAGTGTTGTAGTTAACCTGAAAGCTATAAAGCTAGTTCTATATGATAGTATTAATAAATCCCTACTTAGCGCACAATGGACCAACAAATCTGAGTGCATGGGCAATATGTCCACCAAAAATCGAATGTCTTTTTTTTTACGCTACCCCTTAATTTTTTTTTAATGGTCAAAAAAATGAGCTGTGCAAAATTTGGGACCGATCCGTTAAGGTTAACCCGTGCCCCCGGGCCTATTAAGTTGAGTCGAAGAGTCAAATTTAATAGAAATAACTGATCTATGTCTCATAACTTTTTTTTCTCTTAACTTAGAATTATAAAAGTAAAACTCAAGTAAAGGAAATTTTACAAGAAATTCAAAAATAATAACTTCAATGTTGTTTTCTCAATAAATAGCCCACAAAAACACTACATACAGTAAAAAACATGTGAAAGTCTTAAAATACGTTATAACTGATTTTGTTGATTTTTAATTATTTATTTTCATTTTATTTTTTGGAAAACGCATATTCGTTAAAAAAAAGATTCTAGAAGTTTAATTTTTTATNTGTAGCGAGGTGTAATATATAGAAGTAATAAACACTTTTACGATTTAATAACAACTATACTATATTACAACGAACTAACAAATAACAAATAACAGCGAGAGACGAACTGTATTACAACGAACTAATAAATAACAGCGAGAAACGAAGCGCGTGTAAGACAGAATGCGTAAGTGATTGACTGACTGACTGGAGCGACGATCTTGCCCTTAAATAGTCAGAGAAATCTTCTAGAGGCGGCGTCGGAACTCTCTAGATGTTCGACCGCCACACGCTTATGTAGAGCGACGAATCTTCTAGAGGCGGCGGTGGCCGGACATTCTAGAATATTCGACCGCCANTATTACAATAACATAAATAAAGTTTTTACTCAAAACACATTCTTTTATTTAATTATATATTGTACAAACATTTTTTCACAATTTTAATTAATTTTAAAGTACAAGTTTTTAAATGTAAAGTATGCGTTACTGTGTGCTCTTTATTAAATTCAATAATTTGAATGTTTTTATAAAACTTATCTGCTCCAGACTTAATTTTTATAATCATTAATGATACATTTACATTATCATAAGCAATGCTGATTCACCAGAGGAATATAATATTGGAGACTATGTGACTTATACGTATTTACATAAATTCACTGTATACGCTTACACGCATATACAGCGAGTCTAGTAAATATTCGAACATTGTCTAGAAAAAATAATTTGCTTCTCAAAAAGCCATAGTCTTATNATATACAGCGAGTCTAGTAAATATTCGAACATTGTCTAGAAAAAATAATTTGCTTCTCAAATAGCCATAGTCTTACAGACCTTTAAGTATAGTTTTATCACTCGTTCAAATATTTTTCTAATAGCTTAGATCGCACTTAAAGGTTTGTAAGACGATGGAAATTCGAGAGAAAAATTATATTTTTTAAACCAAATTCAAATATTTAATTAACTCACTGTATATATACATTCACAACAAATGTATTAATACATAAGGTAAACTCTCATAAATAAACGAATATTTCACGGAAACACTACTAATCACTAAAGAGTAATAATTAAATTAATTTTAAAATAAAACTATAAATTACTTAATCTATTTTTTATGCAAAGAATTTAAATATTTTGTTATTCACTTGGAGTATAATTGTAAAACACAAATATAATATTTAAAGATTTCAGATAAGTAAATTTTTTCTCAATATTACTTTTTTCACAAAAGTTATTATAATTTTAAGTTAGTAAGTATTTTAAGTAAGGTAAGTTGGGGAAATTATTAATGCAATATTTGGAAGAGTACATATATATGCTTTAAATAAAATAAATCAAACCTCCCAGAACCCCTAGAATTTTCCTATTTTTTTATTGTTAATAATTATAGTTTTTCGCCTGCATTACTTCTTTGAGGATATAATAAAACTTTCAATATCTTGATGTATATTTTTAAGATTAAACCGTTAAAAATTTAGTTTGAGTAGAAAAATATAATTATTATTTATACAAAG